AGACCTATCAACCTGGAACACTCATTTTCATTAAAACCTGTAGGAAGGACCAATGATCTCAACATGAACTCCACCTTGAAAGGATCCTTTCTCAGCATTTCTCTCTTCAATAGCTATCAGCGTTGCAGGAACTATCAGCTCCTCATTCTGAAAGTCCTCATTCCCAAGGACCTTGGAAAAGAGAAGTATGTCCAAAGACTCCATCATTCTTGGAAAGCCATCCACTGGAAGACTGAAAATACCTGCTCAACCACACTTCAGTTAAGTAATAGCCTATTTGTCCCTACTGTATCTTCCAAGAAAGGATTGCCTGAAACTTGAGCATTCTTCTATTCAGTACCTTTATTATAATTATCCTGCTGCTCATTTGCTCTTACCTGGTGGTACCTGTCAGAAGACTTATAAATCTGGTTAGAGAGAGCTCAACTGCCATACCCCTTGTTTAATTATTTCTAATGGTCTGGGTTAATTTGGGGGGGTGCTTTTTGTTCTCATTTAAAACAAGAAGTCTGGGCTATGTCAGATCCTAGCTTTGGGAGAATGATATGGGTTGAACCCCTGCATGGATCAGTTTGGTGAAAGTGATTAATGACCATTATAATCTTTGTTCTTATAATCATTATATTTGGATCATATATAATAAACTGTCTCTTAAACTTAATTTCTTTTCATTTATATTCAATCTGGTCTTAACACTTCTGCATCATACTTACCCAAGCATCTATATGGACCCTTCAACCAACCCTCCGGCCTGAAAGGCAGCAAGAATGGGCACCCTCACTCCCTTCACTCTATTCACCCTCTCAGCGGGAATTAGCCAGAATGACACAATGCCCAATACTCTAAATGATTTTAGAGTCCCTAGTATTAAGGGGGAAATTTTAAGCAAATAATTATATCATTAACAGGCCTGAAGGATAAAGGAGGGGTGTAGATATCCAAAATAAGCATGCTTGGCTGTTGTAAAGAAACAAGACATCAATGTATAATACATTTACAATCACTTTTAGATTCAGACCTAAAGCAATCACACAAGAGCATAGTGACCTTTTAAGGCTACAGAGTGTGTATCCTCCTTCTGATACCTGGCCACCTGGCTGTCTAGTCCCAAACAAGGCACACAACATTCTTGGCTGTCATATCCTACCTCCCAATGACATTAGGGAAGGAAATGTTCTTTAAGGACCCTCCTGCCCTGGGCTGGCACTTGGCTTAAATTAAGAACTTACGTTTCATTTATGTGCCTAAAAATGTACCCAAAATCAGATTCTGTGCAGATGACTTCATGGAACTGCCCACCTTCTAACTTGAAGGTGTAATTCTGTCTATATCTGTTTTATAATACATTGTAACTGTACTTCTGCCTATGTGGCTTTACTGAATTATTTCTTACAGGGAACAAAGAACTGAGGACCAGAGAAGTGAGGGACCAGTTCTTTACTGCATCAGAAACCAGCTTCCCAGTGACAAATCCACCAGAGTATATCACCCCTTGATTGAATCTCCTTCCAAAGACATGAGACTTTGGGGGGACATTTCAGATTCAAACCATAACACGCATTGCCCTTCAGGGGTCAGTTTTTAAAAAAAATACTCATTACACTCCAGGAGTCAAACTTTTTCTTGCTTCCTTAAAGGCAAGTTCAAACTTTCAAACCAAAGAATTAAAGAGAAACTCACTTGACTTTGCCAATAATTTATATGCTTATCTACGAATACAATTTTTGTGAAAAAAAATGTTAATGGGTAAAACATTAAGAGGACTAAAGCTCAAGCCTATCAAAATGAACACACAATTTGTGAGATATGCCCAATGGGTGCTTTTGAAATTCTGATAGCTTCAATATATCTTGGAACTCTAGCATCTCATTCATAATTACTCCTAATTTTGCATGAAACCATCTCCCCAACAAAATCCATCTCTCCTCATCACAAAACCTAATAAGGATATGAATTCCCACCTCAAGGAGGCACCAGAATGCCCACTGTGTTGCATGTGAGGAAAAAAGAATGGTGGTACCTCTTTTCTGCTGTGATGATCATTTTATAGCTGCTCTGTCTCATTAGACGGCTAAAGTACTAATTCAGGAAATGTGGCTTCTAATCACACTGAACAGCTTTGTGCTCACAGTCACAATTCATGCCATCATCTGTCTTTTTGAAAATTGAGATAATATGCTGTGGGTTTTATCAAGATGTTTGGAAAAGTCACCATTTTGGTTTCCTTTTAAACATGTATTGGACTATGCTAAACAGACTATTAAGTACTGATTTTCCATTTCTGAGCCTATATGACTCCAGAACTATGTTGCACATTCATCTGCCCATCTATTTCTCTGTCCTCTCAAGTATGCCCTGAACATCTATGCCAGGGAAGATCCTACTGGAATTGAAAATATAAATGTTGACAAGACACGATCTTTATCCCAAAGTGTGATTATCTCACCTGAAACCAGGGTTTGTCTTCAGCAGCAGCAAGAGCTTTTAGATGCATATATTTGTAGTCTATGTAGCTTTACCCCTATTAATTTCTCTTTGATGATATTCTACCAAAATTTTAGTTAAATCCATACTGCATGTCATGTGAAGTTTCTGCTATTTCCTTGCTTACTTATATATAATCTTTAATATAAAAAATATGTCCACATATAGCATTTCATGCATTTTTACAGAAGCCTGTGAAGATGTCGCAATTCTCATAGAAAAAAATTGCATAGTCTCAGGGATATTATTTGCTCAAGGTGACACATGGTCTTAAGTGTAGAAATGGATGTTTTGGTCTGCCAAGTTGTTTCACTGGTGCTTCTAGTTGTCAATTCTAGCATCTCCTTATCTCCTTCATTGAGCTCTTACTTATTTACCAAATATTTATTGACCATCAGTTATATAAAATATGCTTTGTCACACAGGAAATGTTCAATCCTTGCCAAGTGTATCAATTTCTTCAGCTCTCACATTATTCAAAAGAAGTTGTGGTCTCTGGTTTTGTAACTAGTCACTTCTAAAATTTCTAATCAAGTACTATAATGTGGAGTCTAACTTCTAAAGTACATACTCATCTGAATTGGAGAAAAGGTTGTTATGGCTTGTGTCTATGTGCCCTGCCAAAGCCTCCTGCTTCCATAGGTAGAAATTTTTGGAGGTTGCTGGCCCTAGGATGTGTGAATGTAGATTATGGGTGTGTGGTACTAAGTTGGTCTGCTTTATCATAGTTCAGTCTATGGATAACAGGAAGGCCCATGCTGAGATGGCACCACTCAAAAGGCTTATAGCCTGGATGAGACAAAAGGGAAAGGGATGCTAGCTGCTGCTTGCTACCTCCTGCCTGCTCTTCCATGGACTGTTTCTCCTCTGCAATGTTCTTCTACTATGCCAACCTGCCTAGAACCCAGCTGACTATGAATGGAAACTTCTACAAATGGTGAACCAAAATAAGCCTTTCCTACTTTAACTTGCGGGCATCATGTATTTTGTCTCAACACTGAGGAAAGTAACTAAGAGCAGAGTCAAACCTTTTCTCCATATGTCATCAATTTTTAAAAATTATTTTTTAGTTAGTATAGTAGTTTTTAGTTACAGCCTCTTTCTTCTATGCCACACCTAGAGAGAAAAGTGAATCAAAGAACAAAGCAGGCAACAAAGCAGTGTTCTTTGGCACTATTTAAGAAAGTTGGATGAGTGCTAAATGCACTGGAACTAATGGCAAGTGGAGATGGAAGGTCCTGAAAAACAGATGACTCTACCAAAGCCTATGTTATATAGCTCCTCAGCATCCCAGAGATATAGTTCTATAATTTCTGCCACTTCTTAATCAAAGCCATTGTCCTCTTGTGTTACATTGGCTGTTTGTTGAGCTACTTTAAACCTAGTTCAAAAAGATGGCTTTTAAGATAGGAAAGATATAAAATTAAAAGCAGATGCTTCAGTATACTGGGGTCATGTCTGGGTCTGGAAATGGAAACAGGGACAGCAGGTTTTTATATTCTTTTGAGCAAATCCCAGGACATTCTTTAAAATGAAACATTTAAAAAAATATAAACATTTCCATTAGTCAACGGATACCAAACCAAGGTTTGTCAACTCAGTGACTGTGAGAACTTCTCCAAGTGGAAATGTTTACAAGAAGACTGAGGCAATCATTGTTACTAAGACCTTTTGTGAGACATGTGCACCCTTTTGTCTCATTTTCTAGATTATGGCATAGAAAGGTAAAGAAAACAAAAACAGAATTACAACGATTGAGGGCAGGAAGTAAAGGGTAGAAAGGGTAAAAGAAATGAGCAGAGTAGATGGAAAGTATGAAAGTTTTTCATTTAAATGGGCATATATTTGAATTCTGGGTGAAAAAATCTACCCAGATATTCTAGAATCTTTTAAATTGAATTCATTGAATTTTAATTGAATTATCTTTACAATTACATGAAGTGAAGGTGCTAGAAGTAAAAACTGAAGGTTTCTTCAGCGTACTATGAGTCTTAATACTGGATACACATCAGAATAACTTATGGGGTTTAATGCAAAGTTAAACCTCTAAGGGCTCATTCTGATAAATTTTTTTTCAGTTGGTCTTGGGTGGGGCTCAGACCTTTGGTGAAGACACATATGCTCATTTTATTGAAGTGGATATGTTCAACTACAAAACCAAAATATGCCCTATTAGAAGCTAAGGAAACAAAAAGCTTCGTCTAGAATATGCTTCCGATTTTAACCAATCCTTTGGTTAAATAAGTCTATATAATATTTATTACTTAGTGACTTCTAATTCCACTGTGTGGAGAAGCCCACCCCAGAGAATGGGTGGTAACCACAGCATGTGATAGTCTAAGGAGTGAGGAGGGTAACATTATGCAATCTGACATTTTGCTTCAATTTACTTGTCTCCCTCCATTCATACAAGCATTGATTAGCATCTGGAGAGTTACTTTGCTTTGTTCAACAAAGGATTAAAGCTATAGAGGAGGAGACTGCTTCAGGAATCAAGGCTATGGTTAATAACATACCAAGTCCCAACGTGAGAAGTCCCATAGTACACTGAAGAATCCCATAGTACTCTTCTAAAGTGCACTTTTCATTCAAGATTATTTAAATACTCATCACGTCCACCATTCTAGAAGGAAAGTAGTTCAGAAATCAGAAAACTTTTGTTTTTATATCATAAAGTTAACCATTTCGAAAAGCTGTGCTTGCAAAACTCAGAATAGGTCATAATGCATTTGTTTTTAAATGTGCAACCGAAAACTTGCTCCAAATTAATTTTCAAATGAAATGCCAGAAACTTGGGAAAATGTACTTAGTGGGCCAAGAAAACAAAAAAGAGTGGATGGTGATGTGAGTCTTGCTTCTCTTTCATCAGGTTTCACTTAGCTAAGGTCAGGCATGCAATTGCAGATAAACAAACAAAGGAACTTACATTTAAACATGGTACATTCCTAACAGGGCTTCTCAGCAGAAGGAAGAGTGGCCGTCACCAGGCCTCTCTACCTCATGGAAGAACCAGCTGCTCCTCATCGCTTGGGGAGCAAGTTGTGAGGAACGCTGGTGACTTATAATTAAAGTGAAGAAATTCCACTCTGACGTACTCATAAAGGGAAATGACAGAGACACAAAAGAAATGAAGAAATTTTTAAAAGTAAACCCTTAAAGGCCTAAAGTGACCCTAGATTATAAGAAAAACATTCTGCCCTTAAAATAATTATTCTTCTGATTAGAAGGCGCATCATCGGCAATTCTGAGGAAAGGTTATGTTGGTAAGAAAAAAACAGTCATTTTAAGACCTTAGCAATGTAGACAGGCTGGTGAGGAAGAATGGTGGTTCTTTAGTCCTCTAATCACTTAACTTCTTTAGTCTTGGGGACTTTTATAGGAGTTTCAACACTGAGTTCATCAAATAGTCTCAACAACTAAGTTTACATCTCTCTCTCTCTTCCCCTTGCTCTTTGCCCTTCTCTCTCAAAAAAGAGTCAATGTCCTTGCACTATATATATTCTCAAGGCATCTAAATAAAAATATGACCTCCTGAAGAAGACTAAGTATTCATTAAAACAGTTCTCCATATATCTCTGAACCTGAAAGAAAATTACCAAAAAAAGCAATGCAACCCCCACGAACATTATGATTCCAGAAAGGTTGTCATCTAAAACATATGCATGGGCTGTGAATTGCATTTGACTTGAATTGGTATAGTGTGAGTTTAAGGTAAAAGAGTGCCGTAAAGTAGGAGAGGGAGAAAAAACAATGTATCCAAAATATTTACACTTATGTGCTTGCCAAAGTTACCAAAGCTTTGGCTACCTAGAGATAGAGGACTGATCTGGAAGCCGTTAGTTTCAGTTTTTCTATTCTTAGACCTAAGTCACTGCTCCTAAATTGGCTTATACAACTTGGAGGTAAGTCTACATCATAAATATTTCTTGCATTTGAATATACTAAAAACTGAAACAATACATTCAGTATATACATGCTAATTAATGACCAAAACTCTTTTAAAATCAGATTCCATCAAGCCTTTATAACAACAGGTTCAAGAGCCTTGTCTTTAGCAGCAGCATGAAACAGTGGAAAACAAATGAACTTTGGAGCTAGAGAGACCCCATTTCAGACCCTAGGCTTTTCCACCTAGGCACGCGACTTTGAAAATACACTTACTGAGAATTTGCTACCATTCTGAGCTCTTGACATGATAATCCATGTGGTCTACATAGCAGCTCTATGAATTAAGGAATATTATCAGTAAAAAGGTTGAAACAAATACACAAAGGCTATGAGAGGAGAGAGAAGTCGATATCTGAGCCCAGGATGCTGGCTTCTCCGCCACACATTCCTACGCTCCATGCCAGCGATGGTGAACTTTTTAAACATCTGGCCCCGGCACACCTGCCATAGGTTCAGCACCACTGCCCTGTGCCACGAGATTGTTCAGTATTATTCAGTTTCTCTATCTGAGCTTCAGTTTTGTTCACTGACTTGTGAGAACAGGATTACAGTGAAGATTGAAATAAA